CGGCGCTCCCCCCCGCCCCCCCCCCGCCGAGTGCCGCGCGCCCGGCGCTCCCCCCGCCAAGCGCGCTCCCCCCGCAAGCGCCCGTGCGCCATGTGCCCGGAGCCAGGCCAGCCCCGAGCACCTGGCAGGCACATTGAAATGCCCCCACGGGCGCCATGGCACCCGTGGGCACCGTGTTGGGGACCCCGGTCTTATACAGTAACCACCTAATTTTTCTCCCCAGCATTAAACGAAAACTCCATGATGACTGGGTTGTCAAGGTTAAATTCATCTCGGCCTTGAATTGTTTTGGCTCCTGCTCCTTAGACAGTGTTCACTCGTTCGTTTTGGATGACTTACAGAGACTAGAGGACAACGTGTAAGTAGAGCCATGCATGTAACACTGGAACACAAACATGTCATTGAAATAGCTACATGGGAGATTAGTACATTTCACAGTTGTACAATTACAGTAGCTGTGCCTTTTGCAAAAGATGGCTAATTAAAACTAAGGCATAATTGGAATTAGTCATGCAGAACTATACAGAATGAGCCCTCATAAAAGTGTATTGGTTTTTGCTCATTAACTTTTAAATGCTAAGGACTGTCCATATGTTACTCTCTTTCTTGTTACCTTTAAAAATAAATTCTGTTAGCAAAGTCTGTCTGCTTTGGGTTTTTTATCAGCAGGCAAATTTACCAAGCATGATGATTTTACCTGAATTGTTGTGGTAACGTATTTTGAAGAATAATATGTTCATTCTTTCCTACTTCACTATATAAATTCATATATATTGCACATGAATTCATTTATTCATTATGAAAGTACATGTGAATATGAGAAAATAGATAAGGAATGAAGTATTTTTGGTGGAGTTTTTAACATGCATTTGAACTTATTAAAGGACATCACTAATGAAGCAATACAAGCCATGATTAAATTGGCTCTGCTACTTAGATTTATACCAGATTGTTATTTTGGGGAAAGGGTAATGACAAAAATAAGATATGACATAATATGGACATACAAAATTTGACAGGAGTAGAAACTATAAATAATGCTTTTCATTCAAGGATCTCTAAACATTAGATCTGCTCATAGTCTCTTTGTCAGGTAAAATGTTAATGGCAAAAGCAACAATTATGATTATATAGTTTCACCCATTGCAAAATACAGACCATATATTCCCAGTAATTCCTGCATCAAACCCATACTTCCTGGTTTTATGCATATTTTGTGTATTATTTTAGATGAAGAAAAAGTAAAATGGCCAAATTGACCAAAAGTCACTCACTGGGTCACTAGCAAAGCCTGAAAATGCAATTTGAGGATGTTCAGAAGTTTAGAAAGTTGGAAATAATCCCAAGAAAGTCAAGGAGGTGGGAAAAAAAGATAAAATGTCAAAAATATAGCCAGAGGTGCATGCACCATGACTGTGTCTTGTATAATTTAAATGCAAAGGTTCCTTTATGGGGTTTTAATTAACACTTATTGTACAAGTGTCTCCAGTTGTTGGAAGAGGTACATTTCTTTAAGGAGATTCAGACAGGAGCTAGATGAAATTATATTTAGACACTTGCAGAATACACAAATGTTAAAATGAAATTTGTAAACCAATAAAAGACAATGTATTCAATGACCATTCTGTGGAAGTCATGGTGGCTGAAACATGTTATTGCATGATGCAAACAAAATGCCTATCCCCGTAATTGTAGAACCACTGTTGCTGTTGGGTTCAGGAACAAAGCTTTTAGTTATCAAAACCCTTATGGGAACCATGCAGTTACTAAGTAACTAATCCCAGGGAAGTGGTTGTCTTCTTTCTTTACAAAGAGGCTTAGAAGGGAAATGTATGGCAGGGATCAAAGAGTGCCTGGTTGCAAGGATGTGGGATGGGTCTGGACTCACATCTGGAGTTAGTGGCACCAGCCTTCCTGTTGCAGGACATCATTTTTCCTCTAGGAGAAAGTTGGAATCATCCTTGAAGAAACAAGGAAGGATTATATAAAAGGAAGTCTCCATTTTAAGAATTAAAAAAGAAAGAAAGAACAAAATCCTAAAATAAACTACCAGTAGCTCAAAACAAAATGGATGCCTAGTTATTAAACTGTAGTTTCCAGAAGGCCAAAGGTCTTATGTTCAAAACTCATACTTCCCTTCTAGGTATAAAAACCTCCCTTCTTTCCAAGGTTTCCCTGGAGTCCAGAACTCCTTGTTAAGAAATAGTAAAGTAAGTAGCAGTTGTCCAGCATCAGGTGGCCTTACTGCTGATGTCTAAACAGTGATAATTTGCAAACAGCTGATAAAAACATAAGGGCTGTGTCTACACTGGCCACATAACCCGTAATAGCTATGGAAATGAGAGAAGTCAGAATAGGGAAATGTGCGGGGGATTTAAATATCCCCCGCGGGATTTAAATAAACATGGCCGCTGCTTTTTTCCGGCTTGGGGAAAAGCTGGAAAAGAGCATCCAGACTGGCGCGATCCTCTGGAATAAAGCCCTATTGCAAGTAGGAATAAGAGATCCTCTGGAATAGGGCTTTATTCCGGAGGATCGCGCCAGTCTGGACGCTTTTCTCCAGCTTATCTCCAAGCCGGAAAAAAGCAGCGGCCATGAAAATGCAAATGCTGTGGGGGATATTTAAATCCCCCGCACATTTGCTTATTCCCAAGTGCTACATTAGCATGCCTATTTCGTAATAGGGGGCCAATTAGATGTAGAGGTGTCTTTAGAAATATGGAAGTCATTGCTTTATACATTCTCTTTGGTCTGAGTTACATTAGACTAATTTTATAGTCAACCTCTTACCTGCCCAGAAAGTATAGGTTGGACTTCTCTGGTCTGGCAACATCCGTGGTCCGTCATGATTTTAGTTAGCCAGATGTCCACTTATCATGTGTGTGGCCAAATTTCCTGTGATCCTATCAAGTTTGTTTACAGCCACCAGTCTTGGCTCTCAGATTTTTATGCTGTTATTTAGCTCCAATTTACCCCTAAATCTCCTCTAAGAGCCCGGTAAGCAGTCGAAGTGGTGTTAATGCTGCTAGACAATATTGATCTCCTGTGGTTTGGCAAATTCTCTGGTTCGGCACCATTCAGGTCCTGAGGGTGCCTAACTAGAGAGGTCCAACCTGTTCAAACTATTTCTTTTGAATTCAAAAGTCATCTTAAAGATTTGTACTATCTAAGCATATCTTTTTCATATTTATCCCTAGCACAAGTTAATGTTTTCATGGTCCATGGTTATTCAGAGCCACTCAAAAAGGAATGAAAAAGGTTGCTAACCAGAATACAAAGGAAAATAAAATTCACACACATTGACCAAGTCACATTCCAGACATACTGGCAATAACCAGTGTTTCCTGTTTGTATTTCTATGCCTTAAGTAGGCATTTATTTGATTCCTTTTTTTTTAAATAAATATTCATACTGTAGTATGTTAGTGGCACCAGCCTTCCTGTTGCAGGACATCTGTATGGAGTTTGGAGGAAACACAGTGAAGACAGTCTGTGTGCACATGGCTGGAATTCTAAGTAGTTGAATTATCTCTGCAAAGTGTTCTCTTAATGATGAGCTAGCTTGCTTTTGAAAACATGGAATCTTCTCATATTACCAAACCTGTGATACAAGCTACACAGACCATAAACCAATTGTATCAAAGCAGCACATGAGAGGCTGCACTTGATTTGTATAAAATTGAGTGTCACTGTCATCCTTGTTTCTAATATAGAAAGAGTCATTAGTTGTAAAATCCAGTATTTGAATTTGACAGGAATATGCTTAGATCAAGATTCGGCATTGTCTCTAGGGTCCTATAGCCTGCACAGTTACTAGAAGATTTACCCAGCATTGCTTGGGTCCTTAAATTAATTAATTTTTGTTTTTCTCATTTAAATCATTGTTCAGGGGAGAGGGGAAAGGGGGGTTCAGTGTGCAGGCTGCCGCAAGGAGAGGGGACTATCTCAGCCCTCTCTCACCTCAGCAGCGTGGGATCAGGTGAGAAGCACTTCTCCATGACTGCTGCAGCGGTCACATCAGGGGAGGGGTGCATGTCCCCTTACTGGGGGATAGATCGACACACAGACATACAGACAAACTCACTGAAATGTATAGTAGATAGCCATCCCTTTCTCCACCCCTGCCCTTAATGGCACAATGGGTTAATAGATGCCCTGGTCCCATCTCGGGGCCCTTGCAAGACAAGAAACAATGCTATTTCAGCTGAAAAGCTAGTCTAGATCAGTTTTATTGCTAATGGTAGTTACTGAATTTAAACAACTGCACGAATCAGTTTCCTTTTAATAAAGTATTGGCTGTGTTATTTATAAATACTTTAGCATTGTGAAAATAACCATTTAAACATGGTACAATATTATCTGTCTCTTTTGGCCAAGTGTGTGCAATACTGATAATACCTCCTTCACATCCATACTGATTTTTGTGCCATCAGTTCAGCCCTGTGTGTCTGGATAAAACAGCCCTTGCCAACCACTGCACAGTATATATAAAGTCTTCAGGAATGCAAATTGTAATTGCTATACATTCTACTTTGACAAAAATTTCTCCCCTGATCAAATGACTTGTTCATTATTACAGACCTGTCAGGGAGTTTTCTGTCCCAAGAGGAGTTAATGCCTTCACATACTGTGGGAAAGCAAATATCATTGTTACTGGGGGTAAGTAAAATGTTTATATTATATATGAAGATCCGGTGATACTTGTCAATGTTTTCTGTCAAACAGATTTCTTGGTTGTATCTTTTTCGCTAAATAAATTCTATTAATTATTAAAACAGCTTGATAATTATAGTAAATAGTTTCATAGTAAGCTTTTGAAGACCGGGACTTCGTTATATGTGTGTATAGTGCTTAGTGCAACATGGCCATAGTCTTTGAATTCAGCCTGATTAGTAAAGTTGTGAGTGCTCAGTCTGGATTTGATTCACACATTACTTCCTATGTCCTTAATAATCATAAGTAGTATATAGTATTACAGGTTGGACCTCCCTGATCAGGCACCCTCAAGACCTGAGTGGTCTCAAACCAGGGAATTTGCCACCCCACTGCCACCATGGTTCCTGACCAGGGCTGGGGATTCCTCCTGATTGCCACCAGGGCTCCGCGGGCTGGGACTCCCTGTGGCTGGACTCCCCACCCACCGCAGGACCAGCCCCAATTGGCCCAGCCAGGGCTCCCCAGCACTCCTGACTGACATGGGCTCCTCACCACCACAGCTCACTGGTCCAGCAACATCTATAATCCTTCCAGACCACAAGCGTTGCTGGACCAGAGATTCCCAGATTTGGAAAGTTCAATTTGCCCTCCCTTCTAAGATCTGACAGTTCCCTGATGACCCAGGAAAAATGAGCAGAGTTATCCCTCCATCTGTCTCCTAACTGGACTACTAATTTAATGATAAATCCTGGTTTCCATATGCATGGCACCTTTTATCTGAAAATCATTTGCAAAGTTACATTACCTTCTCCATTTTAAGGATGTCCTTCCTTGGCCTTGCTTTCCTTATGCAAAATTACCCTTTAACTAAGTCATGAGCTGATCCATAGTATCCTCTTGACTAGTCCCAGCTCCAACCAAAAGACAGTGAGGGTATGTCTACACTACCCCGCTAGTTCGATCTAGTGGCGTAATGTAGGCATATCCCAATTGCAAATGAAGCCCGGGATTTGAATTTCCTGGGCTTCATTTGCATAAGCGGGGCGCCGCCATTTTTAAATCCCCGCTCCTTCGAACCCTGTGCCGCGCGGCTACACGCGGCATGAACTAGGTAGTTCGAACTAGGCTTCCTAGTTCGAACTACCGTTAGACATCCAGGGATGTGTCAGAGTTGTCTTTCAGCTGTGGCTTTTCAGAGACTATTTATTACATCATACTGGTCCTTTCTGCAGTCTCTCAGGGTATGTCTACACTACCCCGCTAGTTCGAACTAGCGGGGTAGTGTAGACATACCCTGAGAGACTGCAGAAAGGACCAGTATGATGTAATAAATAGTCTCTGAAAAGCCACAGCTGAAAGACAACTCTGACACATCCCTGGATGTCAGATTTTTCCCCCCTTTTGATTTCTTATGGGCCAGAATATCTGTCTTTTGTGACTTGCATTTTATTAGGTTCCATCTATTAGGAAATGTATACATTTTCCTGAAAACTTTAACCCATCTTAATTTTAAAGCTGTGCATCTTCAGATTGTTTTGCAGTTAGTTTAGAAGCTGTGTATAGTTTAGCAATTTGGTGAGTTATTTCAGATAATGCCAAATGTACACACTGGAATACTGGAGAACGTTTACATGCATTCTGTTGACTCACAAAGGCAGGCAGCTTATTATTCCTGGGTATAAAAGAGGAATGGAGTGGCTGTCTAGGGAGAGAGTAGAAGTGGGTTGACCTTACGAGAGAACCTTGAGAAGATTTGAGCCGACTTTTGTTTCCTTTGTTAATAAAACTAAATCCAGACAGAGGATGAGTTTGGGCTGTTCTGTATGGAGTGTCTGAAGAGCAGGTAGAGAGAGACACTAGCTTGCACTCTGAGCAGCACAGGTCTAGAGGACAATGTATCTGTGCAGTCTCTCCCTAAAAATATTTAAGATGATACTACTTCTCTAGTATATAACAAACAAAGCTGAGTGAAAAGTGGCTGACTTGGCATTATGGTTATGTGAATATCCATATACAGTTTTGATCCATATGTTCTTACTCTCTGAGTTCTGCTTCAAGTCTGGAGCAGCTCAAAGTAAAACTTATCGATAACTGTCAAGTTGTACTAGTTTTATATCTTAAGCTATTCACCAAGGGCTACATTGACGTATATATGATGCAAAGGGCCTCTCAGTATTTAACTGTTAACAATGAAGCCACAAATCTGGCATGATTTTTATGCCAACCCATAAATACATTCATGTGTGTTTGAAATTTGGGCCCAGGGTTTCTTAAAAGGCTTATGAAAAATAGCAAATATTTCAATGTAGCTGCTATACATTTGGGGTTTGTATCAGAACCAAATGACAAGTGTGTTTAGTTTTGCTTTGGATTGGCTGAAAATGTTTGAAATAGTTACCAGCAAAAGACTACTATTTAATAAGAGGACCAGACTTCAAAACTGGTCTCTTAAATTGTGCACAAATATCACATTTGCACAGATGGACTCAAAGGGCTTTTGCACCACTCTGACACTATTAAAGGGTCTTAAAGAGTGAGTTAAGCAGTGTAAAAGGACCTATGTGTAACTGAGAATCAACCCTTGATATGAAATATACAAAGACTTAAGCAGGATTTGTGTTTGCAATCTAGGAAGCCACTTTTAAAAACACAGCTGTCTATTAAGAATCTATTTTGTGACTGCCTGCCTGTTAGAGAGAGACAGAATGAGTCATGAATATCTTCTGTTCACAGGTGATGATAAAATTCTCCGTTTATGGCATCCCAATATAAACACCAAGCCAGTGGGGAAGCTGTTGGGACACTTATTTAGTGTCATGGAGATTGTCACAAATGAAAAAGATCAGCACATTATTAGCCTTTCCACTGAAAAGGTAAAGCACTGTACCTTAACATCATGAAAACCACTTCTGTGAATACTTGCAAAAGTTAGTTACACTTTGAGTTACCTGTGCTAATGGTATTAGGTTTTAACATTCACATTTTTATTAGAATATTTTACACTGTACACAATATACTATGCTCTTACAAACTCTTAAAGGACATGCCTGTATTTAAATTAGTATCTTTAAAATATTCAACTTATTTTATATTGTGACATAGGTTTCTGCATATTTCTGGGGTGGGATTTGTTTTATTCTGGATATGGTGTTGGAAAGAGAAGATAATTACACCGTTTGATATTAACATTCTGATTACCGATGTGTGAATGTACCACAAGTGACAACTGAATAAAAACTGTTCCACCAGAAATAGTAGAACCACAGAGTCAGAAGCAGCTCAGGAATGGAGGCAGTGTATAATTCTGAACTAATGGTTATTTATGGTTGTTCTTTAAAAAGTTTACAACTGAACATTGATGTAATGTGGATTTGAAACTTTGTCATGCCAAAGAAAAATGCTGCTTTTCCTTTCTTTTTAAAGTAGTTTATATTTATGTTTAACACAGTTGTGTACTGTTTGGGTGGGGGGAGGTTAGTTTTTTTGGTCTCTGCTGCTCTCTAATTGCATGCTGCTGGGTTCCGAATGAGGAAATGAGATGTGTGACTGACTTCTCTGTTTGTAACTGAGGTTTGACTGTGCCTTCATTCAGAAATATTACGAACATAGAGAAGCTTCATTCACCCTCCTTCAATCTTTCTCATTACACTCACATGTAGCACTATCTTAATCAGAATATCAGCTCTTCTGGTCAGGCCCCATCTTTTTCCTCTCTATGTACAATGCGCAGCACTATGTTCTCTGCTCCAAAATGCAGTTTATACACAAATGGGATAAATAACATGAATTTAAATGTCTCAGAGGGGTAGCCATGTTAGTCTGCCACAAGTCTACTTGGTGAATTTAAATGGAGCCTAAGTTCCTGCTTACAGTTAAACATGGATTGAAAGTTAAACAAGACTGAAATAATTGTGCTTGTTTTCTTTAGAAAAGAGAAGACTAAGAGGGGACGTGATAGCAGTTTTCAAGTACCTAAAAGGGTATTACAAAGAGAAGGGAGAAAAATTGTTCTCCTTGACCTCTGAGGATAAAACAAGAAGCAATGGGTTTAAATTGTAACAAGGGAGGTTTAAGTTGGACATTAGGAAAAGCTTTGTAACTGTTGTGGTGATTAAACACTAGACTAAATTGTCTAGGACTGTGTGGAATCTCCATCACTGGAAATATTTAAGAGCAGGTTAGATAGACACCTGTCGGGGATAATCCAGACAGTGCTTGGTCCTGTCATCCGGGCAGGAAACTGGACTCGATGACCTCTTGTGGCCCCTTCCAGTTCTATGATTCTATGGGTTTCAGTACTTTGCAGACTAGAAATGGACTTTTATACACTTGGTTAAGTGTATGGCTGAATTGGGATGTCCAATTAATCTCAGCTTCATTGCAAGTACTCAGAGGAGAGGGTGAGTTACAGTTGATCAGATCAGATCCCTTCATTTGTCCCAGTTTATTCAGAAGCTACAAGTGTCATCTGAAAATGAGGTTGTATATTGTAATTACATAATGAAAGTCCTCTTCTACTGCTTGTGGCTATTGATGCCAAAATAGCTAGCATTGTGACACCCCAGAAAAATGTCAGCTTGCAGATGGAGAATCCCAGCTTCATGGCTAATAACGGTGTTGAAAACAACAGGACTGCTCATACCATGCAACATTAAGCACATGCATAATTTTTTGCAGAATCACGTCACTGACAACATCATAAACCATGTGCATGCCAGATGGGAAACAAATATTTGTCCCCATTTTACACTTGGGGAAGAGGAGACAGAGGCAAGCAAGGCTATACAGCGGAAGCAGTGTTCAGTCCTGTCTTCTTCAGACCTTTGGTTTTTGCTTCACTGGATGAAGCAAATATTCTTAGTGGAGCTGAGAGAAATTCAGTTTCCATTCTCTGGGAAATTCTGATATTTCAACTTCTGCTTTTGTTGTGAGTTGGGATGAAAAGTTGGACCAACATTTCTCATACAACAAAATATTCTGAAAAAAGTTCAATGTGGAAGTATTTTTCTCCATTTTTCAATCAACACAAAATGATTTGACCTTTTGAACCCAAATATTTTAGTTTTGGTTTGTTGAATTGGTTTGCTTTGTTTTGAGTTTGTTCAGTATTGAACTGCTCTCCCCTCTCATTGTACAAGTGGGATTGCAGATTGCCTGGCACCCTCATTTTTTCCTAGGGGCCAGCCTCCCAGACTGGATTATGTTTCTTACGATGCACCTGCATCTATATAATGTCCATGATGTACCACAAAGCTTGATTGAAGGAGAGTTCATATTAAATCATAGGAGATGTAGTATATCTGTAAGTCCAGTCCATGGGAGAAAAGCAGGCTCAAACCATGATTCTCATGGGGCAATGTCCCACAAGGGAAGTACAATTTTATGTTGAGCTCGCTCAAAATTTCAAGTCAATTCAACAAACTCAACAATTCCAATTTGGGTTAAAGCCTCCTGAAATGAAATATTTTGTTTTAAGTTTTCCCATGGAAAATCAAAAACTTGGCAAAACTGGAATCCTCCCATGAAACACTTGATTTTATGGTAATTGCATTTTCTTTTGGAAAACAATTGTGATGGAAGAATCCCAACTGGCTCTAATTCTTTGCCTCTGTGTATAGATCTGTTAATTAGCAGTGGAATCAGAGAAAATAATGAATTCACATCAGTAGTCACCACTTGGTATGAAGTCCTTCACAAAAAGTTGACCTTATGAGGACAAGATCTAAAGAAAATGACTTGAAAGGGATTAATGGAGTAAAGTATTGATTCAATGAAAAACAGATCTTCTCTTTGATGTAGAACATTATATGCTGGCTACACGAATTGGAACTCTCAGAGGAAAAGCCCTCCAAAGTAAAAATGTTAGGTTTATTCCCACTCTCATTGAACTCAGTGGGAGTTTACTAATTGACTTGAAAGGGAGGAAGATTGGGCCTTTTCAGTGTAACTTTTCGAGATCTATTAAAAGGAATCAAAATAAAAAAACAATAGGGTTCAAAGTATATCTTCCTCTGAGCGAAACAAGCATCTCTTCCACAAACTTTAATTTGTGCCAAAAAGCTTACCATCAAACTCAGAAAACCCATTACTTTCCTCCATTGACAGCAAATAAGATGGGCTAGAAACAACACAGTCACATATATTCTAAAAAAGCGCAAGCTCGTTCTTGAAGATGATTAATTCTTTCTTCAGGGCTTGTTTCCCTGGATGTTTTTCCTTTGGAAAGAAACAGGATCCTGTCTCCAGACCTCTGTTATGATATAATCCTTAACCCAAACAAAAGAGGATACGTCTACACTTGCTCCCTATCTCGAGATAGGGATGCAAATGTAGTGTACTGAAATTGCTAATGAAGCACAGGATTTAAATTAAGCATAATCGTGTCTGGCCATCATTTTGAAATCGCATTATTGCAAAATAAAACACCCCATGTAGCAGAGTTATTTCAAGAGAAAACCCTTCTCTCGAAATAACTGTTATTCCTCATGCAATGAGATTTAATAGTTATTTCGAGAGAACAGTTTTCTCTCGAAATAATGCTGCTACATGGGGTGTTTAATTTCGCAATAATGTGATTTCAAAATGGCGGCCGGATGCAATTATGCTAATTAAACATGGGATATTTAAATCCCATGCTTCATTAGCAATTTCAGTACATTACATTTGCATCCCTATCTCGAGATAGGGAGCAAATGTAGACATACCCAGAGACACTTTAGAATCCCTCTTTCTTTGATTTCACCATTTTAAAGACTTCTTTCAATACAGAAAGGGAAATCTATTGCCTAAATTACCAGTACATCAAGAAAGATGAGGTTAATTTGCCTCTTTGCAAAGACTCAAAAATTACAATTTTCCAGACAACATTCAGAGAATTTAACAAGGGGGAAGGTTAATGAGATCTGAAAGTATGAGGCAACCCTGATCCTTACTTCTGCACCATATAAAGAAAGGTGAGAAACCAAACCTCTTTGAAAGATGAGAAAGTTCAGAATTCATATGGGAGGTAACAGGTTTCTTCTTAAATTCAAAATAATTATTCAAAAATACAGTACTGCGTACCTTCCCTTTAGGTTATGTTTTTTTCTTTTTTGTGAAACCCCACCCTGAATGGTCAGTCTCAGCCTGCCAAAATTGCTTAGATTTTGGCTACACTGAGCAGATGGCACTGCCTCTGACTTTTGGTGCAGCAAGGTATTGTCTTTCTGCATCTCTGTAACAGTGTTTGCTCCAGACGGTCCCCAGCAGACCAGAGGCACTGGGGGCAAAGCGGCAGGGGGGGGGGGGGGGCCCCCCCCGCCGCTGCCGCTTTGCTCCCAGTGCCTCTGGTCTGCTGGGGACCGTCTCCCGCAGACCAGGGACACGGGGGGCAAAGCCGGGGAGGCGGAGGGGTCCTGCGCCTCTGAGGCTTTGCTCTGGCAAAGCCTCAGAGGCGCGGGACTCCGCCACCGCTGCTGCTTTGCTCCTGGTGCCTCTGGTCTGCTGGGGACCGTCTCCCGCAGACCAGGGACACGGGGGGCAAAGCCGGGGAGGCGGAGGGGTCCTGCGCCTCTGAGGCTTTGCTCTGGCAAAGCCTCAGAGGCGCGGGACTCCGCCACCGCTGCTGCTTTGCTCCTGGTGCCTCTGGTCTGCTGGGGACCGTCTCCAGCAGACCAGGGGCACCCGGAGCAGCTTTTCTCGCCCCGGAGGTCGGGGTGGCTGGACCACTGCGCTCTGGGCGGTCCCGTTGCCTGCGAGCTCCGGGGCGAGAAAGCCCCGTTCATAAGTGCGGATCCGACATAAGTCGGATCCGCGTAACTCGGGGACTGCCTGTATTCCCCCTTTGGGCCCAATTCTTCATTTTCAGGCTGAGGATGATCAATAATCAAACATA